GCACGTCTAACTTCCGTTCATTTCGCCTTGAATCATGTCTCAAGAGCCTGAGGATGTCAAGCCTAAACTCAATCTCAACATCTCGTACGACGGACAACGTAGGTCCAGACCGTTTCCTATTCTTAAGATCTCGACGATTAAGCGCGTTGTCTAATTTTATTGAAACCAGAAATTACTGTCAAGGTGAAGCCTAACATGAAATTTGCGAAGATCTTTGACGCTGCAGAGGTACGTTCTCAGATCGACAAGTTGTAATGGATGTTTAATGTCGTGATCTAGAAACGCTTCGGAAAAGAACCTGGTGTGTTGATCACTGTCCAGCTTCTGTTTCTGGGAGACTGAAATACTGTCGAAAACAGGTACATTTAAATTCACGTACGAAGGCAATCGAATAGGCAAGGAGGACACACCAGCTGGGGTAATTATCTGCCGTTATCATCCATAGATTTGGGACTCATATCATACATAACTCTCAGCTTGATATGGAGGATGGGGACCAGGTTGACGCTTTCTTGGAGCAGGTGCATATCTCTTTACCCTTGAAATGTTGATAAAACAGTTCTAACCTTTATTGCTGCAATGTACAGCTTGGTGGATTTATTTTCCCCCACCTTTCATGACAAACCCAACTCTTGCACAAATCTACTAATACTGTGACGAATCCTAATGTTTTGGAATGTATTTTTTTCTTGGATGGAATTTCAACTTTGAAAGATAGTAATCTGTGGCTCTGAAAGGCTAGCTTGTTTCTCCGAGTCGTGTCTTCGATGCCAATTAACATGGGGACCATGGCAGTCTCGCGGCTCCGGGTGTGATTGCTCAATTTTCACGACAAAGGAAGGCATCAACTCCCTGGTTAATCAAATTGGCTATCAACTATTGCTACAAACTTTTACGTGGTACCCTCGACCTTCAGGCACTTTTTGTGAAAGGGTGAAACCTTGAATTGACTAAGGAGTGCAAAGACCTTCACAGAAGTGTTAGGGGTCCTGTGCCAGTGGTGTTGATAGTCCTACTACCCCTTTTGTAAGCATGATCATTGTAAGCTGGCATGATCAATTGCTTATTCCCTGCCAAGTTTCTCCGTCCCACCATCTTGTGTCAATGCTCTCTTGTTAATCTTCTATACCATATAACGACATTTATGCTTTCAAGGAATTCACAATATAAAAAGAAATTACGTGGGTGGTTGAGCTATGCATTTGCCAGGTAAAGTTGACAACTCCGATGCTCATCTTACAATAATGTTCTTATGAAGCTTCATCCGCTATTTAGCGAGGTATTCGTGATCGTCTCGTTGACGCTTTTCTTGCCAATATGTCTGGAACAATTCGCAAGAGATAATGGGTACCTAATGCCCGACAAGGTCTTGCCTTGCTCATCGCTGAAACCGACTGGGGTGTCCGGACAGGCGTCTTCCTCACCGTCAGAGGAGGTACGTTGTGTTGTGAAGCTGGGCTGGTTGTGGATAGACAGCGCAAGCTTCAGGTATATCAACTACTTTCATACTTCGTCGAGAAATACTGATGCAAACCTCTACATAGTCTGTATGTTTATTCAATATCTGTGGCATTGCAAGCCATCACCGTGATATCCATGGGCGGTATTGCTGATCACCGTATGTGCACTGCACGGTTTACGAGACAAGTCGTTAACTGTTGACATAGCGCCTCACAGGAAGAGACTTCTACTGGGGTTCGCCCTGCTCGGTTCTTCAGCTGCATCAACCTTCCTCGTTCTACCATCATCATCCCCCCTTTGGTATCTATCCGCGCTCTTAGCCATGTCGGCCAACGTTGCTTTTGGTGCATCAACCGTGGCTATGAACGCCTATATCCCATCGTTGGCCAGAGAAGCACCTGAAGTTATGAAGGTCGTCCAAGCTCTAGACACATTCGAAGATATCTCGACTGTCCGCACACCTCTCGATGCGGAAGCAAATGCGGAGAGTGCATCTGAACCACTGCTATCCCCATCTCCAGAAGACATCTCCAGAAAAACCGAGCTTGATGAAGAATATCAAGCAGAACTATCACGAGCAACTTCCCGTATATCCTCACTTGGAATCGCACTGGGCTACGGAGCTGGTATTTTCATGCTATTTGTGGCCCTCATACCTGTTACGCGCCTTCACGGCTCGACGTTCTCGCTACGACTAGCCATTGGTCTTAGTGGGATTTGGTGGGCCGTGTTTACTATCCCAGCTGCCCTTTGGTTACCTTCTACCAATCCGAGAGGTCGATTATCGAATGGAGCCGCATCAAGGAACCAAGACAACAAAAACTGGAGCTTGAAACGAGAAATTACAGCTGCGTGGGTCAGGCTAGTCAATATGTTGAGGTGGAACGAAATCGCGAAATTGCGCAACACCTTCAAATACCTCGCTGCTTGGTTCCTTCTTTCTGACGGCAAGTCGACGCGATGTTTTCAACGTGAAATGTAATATACCTAACCACACATCGTAAATCTTTCAGGCTTTACTACAATAACATCCACGGCCGTGTTATTTGGAAAAACCACACTACATATGTCACCATCAGCACTGATTCTTGTTGGCATCCTGACGCCTACATCTGGCATCCTTGGATCACTCGTTTGGCCCGTCCTCCAACGCAAGCTTGGATGGTCAAACCTCCGAATCCTTGTAGTTCTCGTCCTTATGGCTTCGTTAATACCTGTCTATGGATGTCTCGGGTTCATCGTGCAAGGCAGAGCTAGCTTTGGTGGCTTGACGACCCAGGAAGAAATGTTTGGGCTCGCGATCTATTTTGGTACGTGTTGGCATCTTCGATATCACATCTATCAGAAACTGTTTCTGCTATTTTTACCTTTGTGTTCGGTAATGAATGCTGCATGGTTACTCACCCCTAGTCTGTAGGCTCCGTTTATGGTGCTTTCCAGGGCTATGCAAGGGCGTTTTATGCGGAGCTCATTCCGCCCGGTGAAGAAGCAAGGTGGTACGGACTCTTCTCGATTACTGACAAGGTATGCTGTATTGTACTGAATTCAAGCCTTTGCTAATAAATTCCGTAGTCGAGCTCCTTCATCGGACCCCTGGTTGTTGGAATTATTTCGGACCTCACTGGAAATATTCGCTATTCGTTCTTCTTCCTCGTTTCTATGATCTGGCTTGCTGTTCCACTTCTCATGAGCGTGGATGTGGAGAAGGGCCGTCAAGACGCAGCAGAGTACGAGTATGGCCACGAGTCTTCATGAGTGGTTAATGTCTAGGGATTGCAGTACGCTGAAAAGACGGCAGATTTTGTAAATATATAATGCTAATGTTACTAACTATCTATACACAAAGAAGCAGCACTCAGTGTTCTTGAGACAAACTCTGGATTGAAGTGGACAAAGGATATGCCTTTGGCTTGTCATAAGGTCCTTACTTATGGTGGAGCGGATGTTTCTCTCACAGGTTTGTTGGCTCTTCAGCGCAATGATAAAGAGGAAGTTACATGTGCCAGTGTCCATCGACAGTTACAGTGCGAAAACATACATATTACCCAATCGTACTAATATAACAAAATGTCCATCAATTATCGTCCCAACTCCGCGATACTGCTGCTGCGTACGACTTCATCTCACTCGGCCCCGAAGAACCATCAACTCAGTTTCGCGCTTGTTCATAGTGCAAGGCTGAAGATCTAATATGCACGACGATCAGAAGGGTCAAAAGGTTACGAAATAGCTATACGGACGGCATGATTACTGTTTCGCCAGTCCTATCGACGCATATGGCAGTGATGCTCGTATTCTGTGATAACAATTCATGAGTTCGTAACGACATCGAAGACTGATGGATATGGTTACATACATCCTTCAAGGTGTTGGAACCGATGATGGAGCCGCATTCGCGAGCGCCGGTAGGAGTCCAATAGAATACTCGCGCACCCTAGATAGAAGCAACCGAAATCAGCATCAGGGTTCGGAGGGTCTGAAATAATGTGGGGCAAAAGGTACATGCCTTCGATGACGACGAAACGTCCTTGTTTTCAGTGCTGGAGGAATTGGTACGTCGAAAGTGGGGCATCTTCCTGTCTGCCTGTAAGAACACAACCTGCCCCATATCCAAACGGAGCATATTTATTTGAACTGCGTCTCGGATATCGGAGCTTCGATCGGTGGATGGCCTTGCGGTGGGGGCGAGGCAAGGATACATCTCGCGTCCGACCATGTCGTTTCCGAAGTCACATTATATTTGCGTGTGTGCTCGGGATGCTTTAGAGTGGATGAATTAAATGCCCTGAAGGTTCGAAGGTTGGTTCGAAGAAGCTTTCGAGGTTGTATGACAGAAACTGTTTGAACTTTGGGCCCTATGCCGAGCGTCTGCTGTGTGAATTATAAGCTTCCTTGGCTCAGTTGGCTAGAGCGCAGGTCTCATACGACGAGTATGAGTAACTTCGGTTACGTAATCCTGAGGTCGCAAGTTCGAGCCTTGCAGGGAGCATTCTTTTTGAGTCTTTTTGTAAGAGGGAAGATCGTGTATCGAGCTTGTAAGTTCTGGCGAGTTTGAAGTAATCACTTTTTTTCGGTCTTGATTATTTGGGCAAGTTCTCAAATGCCATCACATCTGATCACATTTGTGAAGGTAAACAAATTAAAATTTTCACTTGAGCAAGACTAACCGAAGGCAAAAATGGTGATCTCTCCCATCCCTTCGGAAACATATGCATCTAGTGATGGGGTCAAATACTATCTCTCTTTGCTTCCAATCCCTGAGCAAAAGCAGCTAGAATCTCAACTCTTTTCAACCATGCTGTTCCTCCTCTTATAAAACCTGAGGTTGGTGTTATTACTAATAGTCTATACACTGGTTCGGAGGTATCAGTGGTTGAATGAATGACTATTTTGGTAAATCCCGCCTATCAGGCACCGTTCACGGCATCTTGATCGCATGTTGTCAGCAACCGCCTACAAGTTGGGGCTCGGAAGCGCCGATAAGTCAAAAAAAATATCATGTTCTCTCTTCTTCTCAGCATTTACAAAGCCAAAAAGATTGCTCCCTGCAAGGCTCGAACTTGCGACCTCAGGATTACGTAACCGAAGTTACTCATACTCGTCGTATGAGACCTGCGCTCTAGCCAACTGAGCCAAGGAAGCTTATAATCATTGATGATTTAGGTTGACATAGCCCCACAGCAAGCAGAGCCTTTTCACGAATGGCGACTCTTCGTCGAGTTTTGAGATGAATTAATAGTGTGGATATGATTAGCGAACTAAGATTACCTTGATTCTTGATGAGACCAAGTTTATTCGTAAGAATTAATTGTGTGTTAATGTGCTCTCTCCTGGAAGTCAGATATTCACTTCACGCGATGGTACAACCCCTATCGTACACACGTAGATTCTGGGGGATTATAGGATGAAAATAAAATCCACATAATTTTGCATGTACTTCTCTATATTCCCTCTTCGACAAAGGAAACGCAACATTTAGGCTATAGCTTCAGTTAGGCACATATCATGATACCTTCGAATGAAACAGGCTACTTACACCGCAAGTCATGACTAATAAATGACTCTTCCATCAACCGTTCGTATCTCGAAAAACGCCGATAGAGGATATAATCCAAGTCCAGAACCAAATTCGACGCTTCGCTGGATAGCCGGAAATCTGAAAGGACCACAAGAGTGAATATGCGTGCTGTAGCAGTAGGGGTTGGATAGAGAAAACATACGATCTCGTTGGGGAGTGTACAACAAACACCGGTTAACGCCATAAATCCAGTGTATTGAAGGTAGTTGCTCATCAATTCTGTACAACCAGTCCTCAAGCAGTTCTTTGATACCCTTCTCTAGGTCCTCTAAGTATGGCAGTGCTTTCTTGACCTTGTCTGGAGTTTCTTGGACCCGCCGTTGCAAGGATGTGAAGTCGAAACCTTCAATACGCGAGGCCTAGATGAACAGAGATGAGCACAGATTTAGCGGGGGTCGTTTGTATACATACCGCAATATATCGAGCAGAAACACAATCTTCCCGACATTTTTGCAGATGAAAACTGACCTCCGTAGCTTGCTCTCGCGAAATGTAGAGTTCTGAAGATGGGTTACCTGAGACTGGTTCTCCATAAAACCTAGATGTACCCGGTAAGACGGTGGTAAGGGAATCTTTCAGCGACTGTAACATTTCGATTACTGGTGATCCCGATGTGGTTTCGTGATGTCCCTCATGTTCTTCGGGTGATGTTTCCGTGGTATTGACAGGACTATCAGGGATGTTGGGTGCGCATCCCCAAACTTCCTCCAGAGAACGTTGACATTGAGCCAGATCGTTTTGGAAAGCAGACCCGCCATATCCAGGCATAATAACGAAACACCGTAGTGGTTTCATCGACGGAGATTGGAGAGGGTAGTGGTCCAGGTCTGCCTCAAGTTCGCAACGTAAAGCAGCGATGGCATTTACACCGCAAGCGTGTGCATGAGTGATCTCGGAAAGCAGCGTAAATCGAAGACATTCCAAACGTGGAAGGAGGGGTTGACCGTCGAATTTGGCTAGACGCGTAAGAATATCGATTGGAAGGAGCGGAGAATCTAGGGATTGGAGGTCAGATGCCAGCTCGAGGATTGAAACGAGTGTTGCAGGTTGCGAAAATATGGCCTTCGCTACGTTTTCGTCGAAAGCTAGCTTCTTGAGGGAATAAACTGAAAAGGGTACTTGGTTAGATCGCTGAAATAACGCAAGAGATGCCTGCAGGATTTCTTCATGAGTTCCTCCGATGTGACATTCCTCCAGCACAGGTACGATAAAATTATTCAAGCCGCTCATGTCCTGCATCAAATTAAATAAAAAGCGGAAGCGTTTCAACTTTGGTAGCAAAATCGGAGTTGTGAATTGGGGAAGGTTCACGAAGTCCAAAAGGAGGGCTTCTAGGTGCGCGATGTTTGATGAGATCGTATGAGACACTTGATCTCCGATTCCCGAACTATGGAAAGAAAGGTAGGAAAGCCGGGAGCGCGGAAATTGTAGTTGAACGTTGGAGGAAAAAGAGTAGACATCCACGAGCTTCGGAGCACCAGCGAAAAGGTTGACATCCAGCCCATTCGGTATTGAAGAGGCCCATAACCAGACAGACGCCCGTCGAAGGTTCGGAATCCGGCCTTGGGCATTCCTTAAGGCGTAAAGGTGGACGGGACTAAGGCGAAGAGCTACCGATTCCCATTTCTCCGAATGCTTGACTAGAATATCGATGATTGGGTTCTGGTCTGCTGAAGTACTAGCCATGTCTCCTGTGATAACCACATGTATTCCTATATCACGGGATCTCCTAATCATCTCCTCTAACGCTGCACATTGGCGACGCACTGCGCTAGAAGGCACGGCCCCGGACATGCGAAATGGAGGGAGATATGCCCACATCAATGATAAAGAGAGAGCGACATCCCTCCACCTCTGACAGACCTGCGACACATTCCACGGATAGTCCAGCAAGTATTTAGGGTAATGTACATCTGGCATGGAAGGTCTGGGATACATTCCAAATGTGAAGATGAGCTTGAGCAGTTCTGGCGGAATTCGGCGAATGGACGAAGTTAACGTCTTCAAATTCAAAATGCGATCCTCCAACCGGGCTATTTCTGGAGGGGGTGTGGGTTCAGGCGCCCCAGGGGGGTCAAATAGCACTGTAGCCAATGCTGATTTCTGCAAGACCGCAGTTGTGACTCTACTATTTCAACGGCACTCCGGATAAGTTGGGTTTCTTCCTCACTCGGGGGATCGTTAGAGGTATGCAGGTGCGGGACTGGGGACCAGACAGTTGTCCTACGACTGAAAACTCGTTGAAAGATCTTTGTCTGAGCCCTTCTTTTGTCTTCACAGTAATTGTCCCGGCCTGTTTTCTGCCTGAACTTTGTGTCATGGTACAATTTGTCCTGGATTGTTGTCGAGAAGATTTTGAAATCCAACATAGCCTGTCATTCGTCGGTCAGTAGCGCAAACACTGGCAAGATTGAGGCCTTCTTCTCTCTTACCTGAGCCTAGAGTTGAATTGGAGCTATCAATGAGAGATTGAGTATTATTGCGGCTGTCAGAGCCACCCTTGAGAAGTTTTCTTTATAACTGACCAGACCAGCCAATCATGGGTAATGATCAGTGGGTGGTGAGGCAGTGACGACTTGTCATCCTGTGTACCCTCATGAAGACTCGAGGTAAAGCGCTCTGCGGTATGTATCCAGATATTTGTTGTCGGACCACCATTTATAGTACTGTATGATAATGAATTTGTCCCATTTTTTATTATCTTTCACAGTGAAGAAACGACAATTGAAGAGAATGTTGTCGTTTGGTGTTGAGTCGAGGTTGCCTTTTTTGGCGAGATCCCCGCCTACGGTCTCAGAAGGGCTTGACTTTCCACCATCCAAAGGCTTATGTAGGTTAGGTTTGTCCGTTTCATTGTTCATCTTTTCTGAACATATCCAACTAGCGCATTATATATATATATATTGAGGCTCCCTATCATATTGGCAAAGGAATATTTTTAAAAAATAAGTATTCACTAACATCTTGTCATTGATATTCATCAACCACCTCAATTACACATCCAAATAATTTGAACACAGCCTTTCGACATGAGATTTCGCGATTCCGACGGTTCCGGTATCATGGCACGTTATCGATGACTTTCATACCAAACCAAAGAACCAATATCTTTCGAATTTGGATTGATGCTAGCGATGAATATCATGGATACTGCCGACACACCCAGGTGAGGATACTGCAAACCCCTGTAAACCCTACTTCATGAAGTATACTCACCGCTGGCCTTACCAGTTCCAAGGAATCACTGGACGACCTGACGATTAGTCAATGGCTAGAACAACATAAATCGTATGCTGCAGCACTCTGAGCTTAACTAGTGTCAACACTAACAAAGCAACACTGGCAGTCACGTCGGGATTCTAGGATCCCGAGACTCGGATTATGCTTCAAAATCTACTGAGCAACTCGACTCCTTGGGTCAGACGCTGTTCGAAGGTCTTGAAATTCAAGGGGAATTAGAAAGCGCAACCAAAGCCATCTCTATTTTTTCTGTTGCTCTCTCTAAAAGTCTCGCGGAGAGTAGCTCAATACCCTCCCGTCTTCACTATTACGCCATCGCCCTACTGAAACGGTACCAATACCTTGAAGACCACCAGGACGTTCAACAGGCCTTGTCTGCTCTTCAGTTAACGCTTAGATCGACTGCCGCAAATCACCCGCTTTTCCCAAGGCGGACCAGCGACCTCGGCCGGGCTTATAGATTTCACTTTGAAATCACACAAGACCAAAGTGACATCCAACACGCGATCTCGCATTTACGAAAGGCCGTCGATTTAGCCACACCCAATGAAGATCTACCACAATTGTACATCCACATGGGTGATGCCCTGCAGGCTCTCTTTCACAAAAGCCAAGATGTGACCGTTTTACATGAGGCCATATCTACCCAGAAGAAAGCACTCGATCTAACCCCAAACGGCCATCCAAAGATACCAGGATGGTTGAACAACCTCGCAGGGTCGCTGGAGTCGTTGTCGGAACAAACCTCTCGTCTCGAGGATATCACGGAAGCTATTGAAGTTCAGCAAAAATCTATCGCTGCTACTGTTGACGGGCACCCCGACTTGTCTGGTCGGTACAATAATCTTGGCAATCTAATCCTACGTCGTCACTGGATCAGCGGCGAACTAGATGATATCGCAAATTCAATCTCTGCACACGAGAAAGCGGTTAAATTCAGCGGTGATAAACACCCCAACCTCCCTGGACGACTCAACAATCTTGGAACATCCTACCAGTTCTTTTATAGGAGAACCGGTGATGTTAAGTATCTCGACCACGCCATATCCTTCCAACAGAGAGCCATTGACATCACCCCAGCCGGCCACAAAGACCTATCAACCCGCCTGAACAACTTGGCAACCTCCCTTAAATTCAGGTTCGAAGATACAGGCGACTTGAATGACATTACAGAGTCAATTTCGGTGCAAAAGCGAGCCATTGATGCGACTCCTATTTCGGACATGAATGCAGCAGCGATGCTCACAAATCTTGGGTCTTTATATGAGCGACGTTTCGAGGGTACAGGAGATCTCGACGACTTACGCGAAGCTGTCGCGACCAA